AGGGAGGGGCGGGGCGGCTGTCGCCGTGCAGCGCAGCTGTCCTGCGTCTGACCTCAAAGAGCACAAGCTTCAAACTTCAGCGTTGGCTGCGATTTTGACGCTGAAATCGCGTTCGGTGTGAACGCACCATTATTCTTACACAGTCAGTTCTTGTTTAGTAAATCAGTCTCAAACAAGATCAAAAAGACTTTTTTGGCCGGATATAAGATTTTAAAACTTGGTAAGATGGACATTTTTTGCAGTGTATAGATATAGACTTTGAATTGCTCTTATTTACTGCCATTAACTATCATTTAATCACTGTGTTGTTTAACTAGTTTTTCCGAGTCATGAGTCCCCACCAGTATTTTATGGCCAACTCTTTAATATTTTGCTGAGACTGCTATTACACATTATCAAGTTTACTTTAGTGATTAGTTTATATGAGTTCTATAAAACAATCRTCTGCATGTACAAATTTACACAAGAAACATCGTTATGGTGGAAAATTGGCTTTCTTATTATCGTAAAACCGCACATAATTTAGCTAACTTTTAGATGTGTTCTTTTGTTGTTGCAGGGAGGTATCTGTCGTTTGGGTTGGAGGCAAAAAATGCAGCCGAACTTTCCTATTTTAAAGATTTAACAGCTGTAAGTTGCATCTTGTGTTATTGYTGTGTAAGTTCAGGTACCAGTGAGGGCTGCGGAGCATCTCAATGATGTAATCACTCACATTCAGACATATGTAGGATAACGTTCCATAGACTTTTTTTATGTTTTAGTTTTTTTTTTATTTACTATTTTTAAAATGATCCATGAATAGCTCGTTTAGACGTGTCTGTGAGGTGAAAGTTCAGACTGGGTTTACACAACTGGTCCAAGACTAATTTTAGCATTGATTCAGGTGAAAGTGTTTCAGTTTCTGCCTTTTTTTCAACTCGATTTATTTATTTATTTATTTTTTATTTGTCATATTTAGATGAGAAATTTGTGTTTCATTCTCTCTTTGTTAGAATTGACCTATTACTGAAAACAGAGTCAAACTTTTACTAGAATTTATCTCCAGATGAGTTTAAATATTTCTAATTTCCTRTGTTACACTGACTTGTTAGAATGTTTTTGTTTTACTTTCTCCAAGAGACGTGCATGTGACACAATTTAGTGTTTTATCTTTTGCTCTGCACAGGTGGATTTCTTATCAGTCCACATTGAATATAACTGTGATTCCTCAGAAAACTTCCTAAAGGATCTAAAAAACCTACAGGTACAGTAAATAATAAAGTATCTGCACATATATAATTGTATTGCATTTTAAAAACGCCTTTAAACAGCTACCAAATGAACCTGATGTTGTGTTGTAGATATCTATTGGAAACTTGCCCATCCTGATTTATGAGATRAACATTCATGGTTGTTCTCACGACCAACATCAGCCTCTTGGAGATTTACTGAACAGTAAGTGTCGGTTCAGCACACAAAATATGTATTCTAATTTAATCTGAATAAAAGAACAAACAAAAAACAAATAGGGCTTAATATCTAGATGTATGCAACTTAATCCATCTCTTGCTAACAGCAAATCTGTTTAAAATTTTCTGTTGGTTTAAGCAATTGATTGCTGTGTCAAATTTAAATTCATATTGTGCACAGACAGAATATATGAATTTATTGCTGTGAGAAACTTTTATCTGATAATAAACATGGTTGTTTTTGTATTATCCTCAAATACAGTACAAATGCAAACATTTTATCCAAACTTTTTCACTAAAYTATCAAATCAACAATTCATCTGAAATCAACTTTAACTTTTGAATCTGTAAAACTGTTTATTCAAAACATTACCTGAACTATCTTTGTGCACTTGAAAGACCATAATGTTCCTTAGCAGGAAGGTTATCAGTTAAGTGACTGCAATATGAAATGTTTTATAATACAAAAACCATAAAAASTTATAACTCTTTAGGTGTGTCATTACACAACAGTAATTAATGTATTTCTAATTATGGGCCAGTAAAGTTTTCCATGAAAACTGGGTGATGTAGCAAGCCTTAAGAAATGATATTTACAACCTGTCCTGAAGTAAATGTCTGCAATTTCCTTTTGGGATTATTAAAGTATTTTGAATTGAATTGAACTAAATTTGAATTATTAAAATATATGGTACTTAAATACTGATTACATTGTGTTAAGGTCTAACTGTTAGATGCCTTGTAAATTCTAATTAAGGCTAAAATCAAGAAAAGAGGAAACTAAGCATTTATAAAAATAAATAAATAAATAAATTAGAAATATTAATTGGAAATTTATTGTCATTCTGTCTGAAATATTTCTCAGTTATACAGAGCAGAAGCTTAAATATCGTTGGATGTGACATGAAAGAAGTGCTGGACATTCAGGATGCTCCAGATAGGCAAGAAAGATTTTACAATTGTTTTATCATTTATGTTTTGTTAGGTGATTTCCTATTTATTATTTGCTTTTCTTTCTTTCTCTCCTATGAAGTCATGGCCTTTCAAATTTGATGAAAACAGCAGATTCCATGAATAGCTATGAGACCATCTGGCATAAGTTTGGAACCCAAACCAAAGCTGAACGAGATCTATTCCTCAGGAAGTCATTTCCCTCTGGCTTCCAATGGGCCACCTCCACAGAGTCTTTCAAGGTTGAAGGTGGCTGGTTAGAAGGTGGGAAGGGAGAGACCATTTGGGATCGTTTTGGTCATAAAGGCCAARCCTTTGGAAACCAGACTGCTGACCTAGCTTGTGACAGTTACAACAAGGTTGACTATGATGTCTACCTCCTGCGAGGTCTTGAAGTCAACACCTACCAGTTTTCTATTTCCTGGGCTCGTATTTTCCCCTCAGGCCACAGAGACAGCCAGTCAAAGAAAGGAGCTCTCTATTATAACAAGCTCATCAATGCTCTAATTGAATCTGGCATAACACCTGTTGCTACTCTCTACCACTGGGATCTACCCCAGGCACTGCAGGACAGTGGTGGATGGACCAATRCATCCATTGTTGAAGCTTTCAAGGACTATGCAGACTTTTGTTTTGCCACATTTGGAGACAGGGTCAAGACCTGGAACACATTCAGTAGTCCTTGGGTGGTCAGCCATGCTGGTTATGGCACTGGCGAGCATCCCCCTGGTGTCAAAGACTATGTGGTTTCTTCCTATCAGGTAAAGTTTGGTAGTCACAACATTGGTCAAGTAACTGATTGTTTTTTTTTTTTTAGTTGTTGCTCTGGAGTGTTTTAATTAAAATGAGCTTTTTCTTTCTCAGGTCACTCATAATTTGCTGAAGTCCCACGCAGAAGCATGGCATGTTTACAATGACAAGTACAGGGCGTCACAGGGAGGGAAAGTAGGCATTGCACTGAACTCTGACTGGGCTCAGCCTAAGAACCCCTCCAAACCTGAAGATGTCACAGCTGCAAATCGCTACCTGCAGTTTATGCTAGGCTGGTTTGCACATCCCATATTTGTAGATGGAAATTATCCTGCACTACTCAAAAGTCAGATAGAACAGAAGGCAAAAGAGTGTCCTAGTTCTGTGCCAGCAGTACTTCCAACCTTTACTCCTGAAGAGAGCAAGAGAATATTTGGAACTTCCGACTTTTTTGGTTTGAGTCATTATACTTCTCGTTTGATAAGCAACAATATTGGAGGATGCAACCCTGGTCCTGAGRGAGTGGGAGACTTTCAGGCACATGTGGACCCCTCATGGCCTACTACAGCCTCTGACTGGATCTACTCTGCACCATGGGGACTTCGACATCTTCTAAACTACATTTCAAGAGAATATTTGAAAGTTACCAAAGTGCCCATCTACATAACTGGGAATGGGATGCCAACAGAATATAGTGTAGACACCCTCAATGACACCAGTAGAGTAGAGTACATGCAGAGTTACATCAATGAAGCCCTAAAAGGTTAGTATCAAATTTCTCTGATACATGATCATAAACTATAGCCAAATCAAAATGATTTTCATTGATTTGAGTTACTGTTTTTTTCAGCAATCCTTGAGGATGGAGTTGATGTGCAGCGATTCACTGTGCAATCACTCATGGATGGATTTGAAGGAAAACAAGGCTACAGTGAAAGATTTGGTCTTCACCATGTTAACTTTGAAGATGGAAGTCGATCCAGAACGCCAAAACAATCAGCATATTTTTTCTCACACATTATTGAGCAAAATGGTTTTGTATCACGTAAACATGTCTTCAAAGGTCTAAGAATGTCTCATACTCCCCGTTCCACCACACTCCAAGCCTCAGAGGTTCCATCAAAATCAAAGGTCGTCTGGGAGAAATTCTCCACACAGTCAAAATTCCACAGACACATGTATCACTACGGCACCTTCCCACAGGACTTCTCCTGGGGCGTTTCATCTTCAGCTTACCAGATCGAAGGTGGCTGGAATGCTGATGGGAAAGGACCAAGTGTGTGGGATAGATTCACTCAGAACCCTGGCACTATTCCTGAAAACGCTAATGGAAATGTAGCATGTGACAGCTACAACAGACATGATGAAGATCTCTACATGCTGAGGGCACTGGGGGTAAAAACATACAGATTCTCTTTGTCCTGGTCACGAATCTTTCCTAATGGTAGACGCACTTCTTTGAACCAGAAAGGTGTTGACTATTACAATAGTCTTATTGATGGCCTCTTGGCACATAATATCACCCCCATGGTTACACTTTATCACTGGGACCTCCCTCAAGCTTTGCAAGACATTGGTGGTTGGGWGAATGCAGAGATGATTAACATTTTTAATGATTTCTGCGACTTTTGTTATGCCAACTTTGGCAACAGAGTGAAAATCTGGATCACTTTCAATCAGCCTCAAACAACTGCATGGCTAGGTTACGGTCTTGGACAAATCCCACCAAATGTTAAGAATCCAGGAACGGCACCATACAAAGTTGCACACAACCTAATTAAAGCCCATGCCACAGCCTACCATACATATGATGACAAGTATCGTACATCACAAGGAGGTCTAGTATCCATTGCCCTCAATGCAGATTGGGTTGAACCTATTGATGTTAATGTTCCTCGGGAAGTTGTAGCTGCTGACCGTGCCATGCARTTTCAACTAGGGTGGTTTGCTCACCCCATTTTCAAGAATGGTGACTATCCAGAAGCAATGAAATCACAAATTAGTGCCAAAAGTGATCTCCAAAGTCTTTCAGAGTCAAGGCTTCCCTTCTTCACAGATGAAGAAAAGAATTTCATCAAAGGGACTGCTGACGTCTTCTGTTTAAATCATTATACTACAAAGAAAGTAAGCCACATTACAGCTCGGCTGTCTCCAGCATCCTATCAGTATGACTGGGACTTTTCAGAAGCTGAAGAAAAAGATTCACCWGGTACAGCAATCAAAAGCCAAAGAGCTGTATCATGGGGCTTGAGAAGACTCCTYAACTGGATCAAGGAAGAATATGGAGATCCAGAAATTTACATCACTGAGAATGGAGTGGCTACAGATGCAAAAACAACATGGGATGACATTGACAGAGTCCTTTTTTATAAGACTTATATTGATGAAGCTCTTAAAGGTAATTACACCAATTAAAAGAAGTTTTTGAGGCTGTGAATTGTTTGTGTCATACTCGCTTTAAGGCAGAATCACTTRTAAATGTTTGTGTGTGTATTGTAATTACAGCGTACGAACTTGATGGAGTAAAGGTGAAGGGTTATATGGCAACATCTCTCATGGATTCTTTTGAATGGTTGCATGGCTACGGAGTTGGCTTTGGGCTGCACCATGTGGACTTCAATAACCCAAACCGACCAAGAACACCCAAATTTTCAGCTCATTACTATCATCAAGTCATGAAGGACAATGGTTTTCCAATAACAGAGGATGAAAAGATGATTTATGGACAGTTTCGAAAGGATTTTATTTGGAGTACTGCAACAGCATCRTACCAGGTAAATCAAGAGTCATTTATCCAACCTGTATCAGAAAATTTAATTTATACATTACTGTTTTAATTGCATTTTATCTTATATTTATTATTTACAGATTGAAGGGGGTTGGAGAGCAGATGGAAAAGGTCTTAGTATATGGGATAAGTTTGCCCACACKCCTCTCAAAGTGTTCAATGATGATAATGGGGACATAGCTTGTGACAGTTATAATAAAATAAACGATGATGTTGCCMTTTTGAAGCAACTTAAGGTGACCCATTATCGTTTCTCCATTTCCTGGCCAMGGGTGCTTCCGGATGGCACTACCAGTCACATTAACGAGGCTGGTCTCAGCTATTATGACAGACTAGTGAAAGCACTGCTCACTGCAAACATCCAGCCTCATGTAAGCATAATTCCTTTGAACATCTCGAAATGTATTTTAAATAAATAGYTCTGACAAATGTTTATTTCTTGTTTTCTGAAAGGTCACTTTGTACCACTGGGACCTTCCACAAGCTCTGCAGAATATTGGGGGCTGGGAGAATGACACCATTGTTGGTAAATTTAGGGATTACGCTGACCTCATCTTTAGCCGTCTAGGCCACAACGTGAAACACTGGGTGACCATTAACGAGCCATAYAATGTAGCGATGGTGGGCCATGGCTATGGTGTAGCTGCCCCAGGTTTGTAATAAGTAATCATGATTTAAAAAACTCTTTTCTCCAATGTGGTGTAAACAAAATATTCACTTTTTACATAATGTTTGCTTTCAGGGATCAGTTTTCGCCCAGGCACTCTACCTTACATTGTTGGTCACAACCTTATCAAGGCTCATGCTGAAGCCTGGCACCTTTATAATGACAAATATCGGGCTGAACAGAAGGGAATTATTTCCATCACAATCAATTCTGACTGGTCAGAGCCAAGAAACCCCTATAAGCAAGGGGATTATGATGCCGCCAGACGTGTAGTAGAGGTATGCTAAGTTCTCTCTTTAGTTTTATTACATTTTTTCTGCTGTCTGAACAAATGGTGGTTGTGTGATTCTGCACAGTTCTATATYGGCTGGTTTGCCCATCCCATATACAATGGGGATTACAGCAAAGTGATGAAGACAATCATTCGAGAGCGCAGTCTTGCTGCTGGTTTGCCACAATCACGGTAATTRAATGCAACAACTGATTATAAACAGGTTCCACTTTTTTATGTTTAAAAAATGTCTTTCATTTACAATTCTTTAGGCTGCCAGAGTTTACTSCAGATGAGATCAAGAGAATAAAGGGAACCTATGACTATTTTGGGTTTAATCACTACACCACTGTTCTGGCTTTCCCGGTGAATTATGGAACTCTTCAGCATTATGATGCAGACAGGTAAGCAGCCATTATTTGGGAACCAACAGTATTTTCCTAATTGTATTTCAGGGCAGATTTATTTGCCCACTATAAATACATTTTCAAACCAATTCAAATTTTTTTTCTTAAATTTTTTGGCAGAAAATTATGATTTTACCTGACTTTCACCTGATTGACTGTCACAGGGGTGCAGGGACAGTTGTTGATCGTACCTGGCTGGATTCTGGTTCTGCCTGGTTGAAGATGACACCATTTGGACTCCGTAGAATTCTAAACTTCATAAAGGAGGAGTATGGAAATCCCCCAATCATCATCACTGAGAATGGAGTCTCTGAGCGAGGACCTATAGWTTTAAATGACATTCACAGGTCTTACTTCTATGAAAAATACATCAACCAAGTGCTCAAAGGTATTAAATCACTCTCTTCTTTTGATTCACCATCTTTTCACTCACCACAGTGAATGATCCTTTCCAAACTTCATCCTCACTAATCTTTCATCTTTCCCTAGCCTGGTTAAAACCAGCCCCTTGTCCTTCGCTTTGCTTCGTACAAGGGTCTGGACTCTCGGTTATAAAAACGCAATTCTTGCTGGAGGCGTGGCCTCTGTTGAAGTTTAAAATGATTGGATCGGTTGGCCGCGACGTATGTGTATGCCAGCTCCACAGTGAGGGAGGCTAAGATAAGAAGCTTAACTGGGAATTGCGTGCGCTGTAAACAACTCTACTGAGAGGAGAGAAGTACCAAGCTGAATGATACGACTTTAATTTGGAAGCCTTTTCAACACGGACTGGCTTCATTCACTTTCTCCACTGCCGTATGCTAAACTCACAAGCAGACACTGCGCAGAAAATCGACGTCATTCAAAACTTTGCCTTCTGTTTGCTGATTGGCCCTGGTAAAATAAACTACAAGCAGACACTGTGCAGAAAATCAACATTGTCGTTCAAAACCCTGCCTGCTGTTCTCTGATTGGCCCGGACAAAAGGGAAACTAGAACTGAGCAGAACTGCGAAGGCATGCAAATACCAGGCTAATCTTTCCCACTTCCTGGTCTACCGTTTCTATGATCTCTACTCTGCTTTCCCCATCATCCACATTATTCATTACTTCCTCAACTTTGATCTTCCAATTACGCTCTCCAACTTAAACTGAAACAAGGAATCACTCATAAAACAATAATGAATTACGATATATTTTTAATGAGCTTAATTTGTATTTTTCAGCTTATTTGCAGGATAATGTGGACATGCGAGGATACACAGCTTGGTCACTCATGGACAACCTAGAGTGGGCAACTGGTTTTTCAGAGCGATTTGGCCTTTTCTATACCAACCGTTCAGATCCTAAAGTGCCTCGAGTTGCTAAGGCCTCTGTGTCCACATACTCTACCATCATCAACTGTAATGGTTTCCCTGATCCCGCACTAGGACCAGATGACTGTTTGAAGCCCAAACCTGAAGGTAAACTCAAGGGTTGCTCAGATACCTGCTGTAATATGACTGAAGAGCCTGTAAATGGAATAACTCTTAACCAACACAAGAAGTACTATAACATTGTCATTTTTAAAGATATTCTTTGAGCAAAATCTTGTATGATAGTACTTGAGTTATCCCCAAGACATACTGCTAGCATCAATATATATATATAAATAAATGTATGTATGTATGTATGTATGTAT